CACCCTTAAACCTACCCAGACCACCACACCTGATCTAACCTTACTTCTATCACACCTCAATAGCAGCAAAAGTGTTTTACAATACAACCTGAACACAATAAGTACATTGCACTTATATTTCAATGTAAGTACATAATACTTAAAGCCACTTAATATAAAGTAGGACCGTTCTATTACTATTACATTAATCGTTTAATATTATATATATAAACATATTCCCACATTGTCATATTTTTTTTTTCCATTTTCCCACAATACAAAAGAGTCTGAAACATGTCATCCGGTGGTAAACTCTACAGTATGGTGTGTGAATGACATCTAGAGGTAGAGAGCTCTATCTCAATGTGCGATTGGATGTGTGTGTGCGTGTGTGTGTGTGTGTGTGTGTGTGTGTGTGTGTGTGTTTATTTATTTATTTTTTTTCCAAGCATGGATATGATTTCCCCCTCCCATACACATTAGCACATTATTCTATTGTTGTCATTCTAGAATCCTTTGATAGCCCCTTCTATCTGCAGGTGTCTGAGGGACGGACAGGGATACAAACGTCAACTCTGTGGTGACAAAAACCAATGACACAATGATAATGGGGTGACAGAAACTCACTGAATGAAAATTAAATCGACTCTCCTCGACCGAAAGGACAGAGGAATTTTAACTTTTGCTACTGTTTTCCTCAAAAATAATTGTATTAAACAAATTGGGGAAAGCAGAATATATTAAAATATACTAAGAACATCTTTTTATAGATTTATTTTGTTCTGAATCTGATGTTTAATTGTATGGAAATATACAATCCTAGTGTTGATTACAAGGGTGAGTGAATGTGTGTATGTATTTCAAGAGTGTTTCACATGTTACTGCATTGATGGCTATGGAACTCATAACCTGCTCCGACTTTACATTCTTCATATCTAATATATAATAGTAATAGAGCTCTAAAAACCTTCATCCAGAACAATAAATGACCTTCAGAAACTGAACACAAGGCCAGCTGGTCTGAGAAAACTTGTTTATCTCAAGAAGACTTTTTTGATCTGGAGCGAGTTTGAATTAGCCTCTGGGAATGTAATATAAGCATGTAGATTATAAGCCTATACTGTATATATACACGTGTGAGGATGAGGATGTCTACAAAGCTTACCATCCAAAACACATTTTCTCGCCTGTGCCATACGTATGAGTGACAATGCCATATTTAGTATATTTAGTGCCATATTTTTTTAATGAGACACATCTTAAACCCATGCTTAACACATTTCCCTTTCCCTTTTTTTACATTATCGGTTAGGTTTGGGGTTACGTTTAAAGGTGCCCTAGAATGTGTTGAAATAATATTTCAATTTTGTCTCTTATGTCTACATAGAGGGTATGTGGCTTATTTAAAAGCATTTCAAATGTCCAGCACTGTTGTGTTTTGTTTAGTTTGTTTTCATCGGACTTGTCTGCCTGTCATCCCATGTCACGTGTCATCTGCATTGTCAGTTCATCTGTATCACCTGTGTTCAGTTAATCATCTGCTGCGTCCCAATTCGCTTACTTATACTACGCCCTAAAAGTATGTACTCTTTTTGTGAGGAAAAAGTACATACTTTTGAGTGTGTAGCAAAAGAGTAGGCAAGCTTTGGGACGTACTATCACGTCATCTTTAACGGACAGCTCTGTCGCGTGCTGCGTGCATCCTGTCATCGTAAACTGCCCTGTCAATCATCTTGTCACAGTTAAAATCCTCCATTCTATATCTAATTTTATTTCCTACCGTTTCGGAGAGCACATCCATCTGCCAGTTGTGGGTCTTTCATGCTCTCCTCGTGTTTGCAATTTGAATATAATGATGCATTTAAAACGTAATGGCTAAACGTGTCTTTACAAAAGTTCACAATGCTGCTGCAAATGCAATATAATGTGGACAACATTTAATAAATTCATTTTCGTCAGGTTAGATACTGATAATTAATCACTCAAAGCTCTTTATCTAAACCTCTCTACACAACCGCGGGGACTCGCGTGTCCTCCGTATCGACTACGTGTCTGTAGTTTTTTAACACTTTTTACTCGTGTTTGCAGTTCTAACCGAATCCTCGTCCAACGCGCAATGGTTTGTGGGCAATATCAGCCATTAGAGTGTGCATCGATCTACACTTCGGATTCTGACCGGAAAAAGTAGACCATCCGGGTATCTTTGAAACACTCATTTCAACGTACTACGATTTGGGACGTACCAATTCTATTTTCGAATACTATTTAGGATGGATAGTATGCGAATTGGGACGCAGGGATCGTCATCTGTGTTTGCATTTAAGTTCAGTCTGTTCAGTCAATCTTTGTCTGATCTATGTGTATAGTGTGTGTTGCTGCCTGTTCATTTACAGTATATTATTACCATTAAACCTTTGAGTTGGAAATATATGAAGAGTTCAAATGCAAAAGCCTCTAAGTGCCATTTGAAATTTTCTTCTAGAATGATCATCTTTTATCAAGTTTGTATATTTAAGTTCATTAATTTCACTTACATGACAATTTATAGGTAATCTTTATCCCCATTTAAGTGAAATTAATGAACTTAAATATACTAGCTTGATAAAAAATTATTATTCTAGAAGAAAATTTCAAATGGCACTTAGAGGCTTTTGCATCTGAACTCTTCATATCTTCATCTTTGTTTGCCTTCCTGCAACCACATGTGACAAACATAAGCAGGAATTTAAAGGAGTAGTTCACTTTAAAAAAAAAAAAAAAAAATTGCTGATAATTTACTCACCCCCATGCCATCCAAGATGTCCATGACTTTTTTTTTCTTCAGTCGAAAAGAAATTGAGGTTTTTGATGAAAACATTCCTGGATTTTCTCCATATAATGGACTTCACTGGGAACCAAACGGTTGAAGGTCCAAATGAGAGTATCAGTGCAGCTTTAAAGGGCTTTAAACCACACCAGGCGATGAACAAGGGTCTTTAAATACATTGAGATGGTAACTAAAAGACAAACAGCTATGGTGATGAGTGTTAGTGTCCATGGTGACTGACTGCTGAGTGGTGGGAAACTAACAAAGGAACACGTGATTAGAAAAACCCAAACAACTGAACATGACGCTGACATGGCTATACAATATACTGTATAGATTTTTTTCAACATATTTTCACCATACATTGGTAAATAAAATTAGATTAAAAGAATTCAAACTAAATATGTTGTTTTGTTTTTCAAATAGGCAATGGTCAACTAATATTTCTAATTGCATGCAGAAGTTGTATGTCCTGTATATTGTCAAATTATGACTCAACAAGGGCCAGAAAACTTGTTTTACATTAGATTAATATTCTAAAAGGTTTTTTTCTCTCTCTCTCTTTTTAAATTAGACCAAAACATGAAAGTCCTCCTCCAGATTCTACTGTCAAATGCATGTTTTAATATTTGCTTGACATTTGAGCAGAAGGTCAGGCTCATTATGATGGCATGTAATGAACAGAAATTGAAGGACATGGAGTTAGTAAGGAAGAAAATAGTGGTGGCCAAAAGGTGCATGTTAAAACAAAACCTTACATTATGACATAAAAACGTATTCTCATCCTTCAGCATTATATAGAACGCTATATGACAAAACAGCGCTATACTACTCACATGGCACCCGTTATCATTAATATAACACGCGCTGTGATGGGTAGGTTTAGGTGTGGGATAGGGTAGGGTAGTCTCATATTACGCTAAAGGATTTATGACGACTTGGGTTTGTGTGTTATATTAACGATAAAGGGTGCCATGTGCGTAGTATAGCGCCGTTTTGTCATATAGCGTTCTATGTGACGCTAAAGGATGAGAATGGGCTGGACATAACACACATTACTGTGGATTACAGAGTTTTAAGATGATACTTGATATGAGTGTTTTTAAAAATGAGATAGTTTGACATTATGTACTAGCTTGTGTGTTATTGTATAATCAGGGGCCTCAGACATGGCAAATGTGGAAATATTAGATAATTTTTAAACTGATTTTTCAGGCCCAGAAAAGTCATATAAATTCTATAGTGATTGTAATATCTACTAATTTTGCTGAAAATATGTCAGATTTATAAATCAGAATTGTGGGTCTAAGTAGGCCTCATGGTTCTGAAAAAAAAAGAAGGGACTAAATCAATGCACTACAGCTGATTGTATTAACATATCTGCCTGATCTCATGAAATGTGTCTCTATTGCATGCATTGTATTTGTTGTGCAATTTTTCAGTGAAAAGTAAGTTTTTACGTGGATATGATACACAGTTGCATATGATGTGTACTTTATGGTGTGTAATATGCACGTACCCCACACCACTAATCCTACCCAAACGTATAATATGCACATACCCCACACCACTAATCTTACCCTAGGGGTTTACATTGTGTACCATATGCACATAAAAACTAATTTTCACGTTTAAATTGCACCAGAAATACAATGCATGCTATAAAGACACATTTCATGAGATCAGGTTACTTATATTTTGGTTTTGTATCAAGTGGTGCTTATTCTATTGTGTTGTATTATTTTTTTATGGATGTGTATTGTGGGACAGTAAAAGTTATGTGATGCAAGATATTTTTATAATATTTTTTGGAAGAGATTCCAACAATAAAAGTGAAATTGAATTGAACTAAATTGAATTTACACTGTAACACGGGCATATTAAAATAAAGTGTAGCCAAATAATTGACTCCAGGCTCTTGAATGAATTGAAAAGTATTGCACAACCGAGATAAAACCACCTCACATTACCACCTCTGGTGTGCATTATTCCACTTCAATTCAGCTGCCTGTCATCAATTATTCCTTAAATAATTTATTAACATTCTTAATTATGATGTTTAGAGTAAATCACATTATAAATACATATTTTTAAATAAAATCATTTCAGCAGATTTGTTTGGGTTAGGGCTCCAACCTAATGTAGTTTAAAACCATCTCATGCTCAATTACACAAACTGCTCACATTGATTTATTTTTAATTTGTTTTTCTATAGGCTGTGGAGACTAACCTGGCCTCAAAAGACAGTCACTGGGTGTTTGTGAATGAGGTAAGGAAAGATTTATTTTATTCCTTTCATGTTCAGGTGTTTTTTTAGGCAGTCGTGGTCTAATGGTGAGAAAGTTAGACTTTTCAATCAGTCAGTTTGCGGGTTCGATTCTGAATACCGTCAGAGGTGTCATTGAGCAAGGCTCCTAACCCCCAATCTAGAGTCGGGGTACTCGAACTCGGACTCGAGTCCAGACTCAAGTCCAATTTTGAGTGAACTTGGACTTGTCACGCACTTGGATGAATTTGTACTCGGACTTGACATGGACTCAGACATTTTAGACTCGTAAAAATGTCCGAATCCAGTCGAGTCCGGGCACTGGAGGACACATTCAAAAAAGAAAAGAAACTACTTGTGTTGTTTGTTTCCGCGTTGAGCATTATAGCCAATCACAGCAAATCAGAGGCATTTTAGAGTCAACATGCAGAGAATTCGCTCAAAATGTATGTTCAGAATCAGCACGAGCTTTATCCTTTTGCAAATCCCCTCATAGACAAAGTCTAGACACGATATACAGTAAATGAGAGATTCACTGTGCAGTGCGTATAACTACAGTGTTTATGACGAGTTTTAGGGAGAGTGCAGAACGCGGTGGCTTAAAGGGAGCTCTATTAACAATCTAAAAAATAATTTTGTTTTTCGTGCTTCTAGAGCACCAGTGGTTCATAATACGTTCATAATGTAAATCAAAAACAGTGATAAATGCATTTAAATGTGGGAGTGAATCTGCTAAATTTTAGTCCTGTGAGTCATAAAATTGTGATGATTGACAGTAACTATAGCAACATGACAACGTGATAAATGATGACTAATAATTGTATGATTTTTGTTACATTTACACTTTAGTCATAAGTTTACATAAACCTTTAAGAATCTCCAATTTTTTTTTTTTAATTTAAAGGAAGGATCATAAAAACATTGTTTCTATTCAGTGCTGCACTGAAAAAGCTTTTTCACTAAACAGATGTTTAATGGCCCAGTCCACAAGACAAAGTGTTATTACCTAAATGATCCACAACTATTTTTTTTTTTTTTTTTTTGTAATGGTTGTTCATGAGGAAAAATCCTCCAGGTCCTGCACATTCTTTGTTTTTCCAGCATCTTCTGCATATTTGACTCCTTACTAGCAGTGACAGTGAAATCTATCTTTATCTTTTCGCACTGGTGACAGATGAGGGACTCATCCACAATCATTACAAACCCTGAAAATATTTAGTGATGTTCAAGAAGGAAGCATCCGTTAAGGATGGAACTGGATGTAAATTGGTTTAAATTGTTAAAAATTAATTAATTCAGTCCTGCCCTTCAGAGGTTAAAAAAGATATTAGCATATAAAACAAAATAATACAAATTTGCTCAAAAGTGTACCCCTGGCTCTTAATGCATCGTGTTGCATTCTTGAGCATTACTTTGCAAATACTGTACCTTTTTCTCTTTGCTCCTCAATATATTTTTCACTGTGTGAGAACATGTGGAGTGAGAGCGGAATGGCTTGTCGGACGTAGCAACGTAAGACGTAAGAGGGGCGGGACGTAAGGGGGGGGGGGGTCTTTGTGAAAGGTCAATTTCAAATCATTTAAATCTTTGTGGACTCTGCCGGACTCGACTCAGACTCAGATGTTAAGGACTCGGACTCAAGTCCGACTCGGCCCTCTTTAGACTCGGACTTGGACTCGGACTCGATTGTTAAGGACTTGAACTCGACTCAGACTCGACAAAGGTGGACTCGGTATCCATCGATAGAGTTACGTGTCAACAAGAAGCCCCCAGCACTGGGCCTTGGGCGAAGAACCAAGGTTTCTTCCACATGACTAAGGCACATAGGCAGCGCTGCATGACTTTGATCATGCGAAATGGATTTCCCCTCGGAGAAACCCCCTTGGTCCTGAGCCACCACTGCAGGGGTCTCATGTACAGGAGCCCAAGTTATTTCGTAGGACGCTGCTGCCATGAGACCCAACAGTCTCTGAAACTGTTTCACAGTAAGTGACTGGCCAAGTTTTACCCCATTTACAGCTGAGAGAATCAAAATAATATGTGCAGATGACAACTATGCCCCCATCCAATACCACTCCTGGAAAAGTGGTCCTCTGAGATGGCAGGAGCACACTCTTCTTGGTGTTGAACCTAAATCCGAGTATATTTATGTGGGGCAAAATGACATCTGCATGCCGAACCGCCATCTGCTCGGACTGAGGTAAAATCAACCAATCGCCAATGTAATTCAACACGTGGATGCTCTGGAGTCTCAGTGGAGCTAGAGCTGCATCCATGCATTTTGTGAAAATGCGGGGTGATAAACCTAGGCTGAACAGAAGAACCCGATGTTGGTACGCTTTTCCCCCGTAAGCGAACCTCAAGAACTTCCTGTGATGATGATGGGTGGATACATGGAAGTAAGCGTCCTTCAAGTCTATTGTGACAAAACAGCCCATTCTCACCCTGTCACAAGGACATCCAAAGTTCTTCAAAATAACACATGGAGGACGTTAAATGCCATTTTCATATTTATTTATGTTCTCCCAACTTCGTAAAGTGCAAGGTGCTCACAGGTGAGGTAGCAGGAAAAATTTACAAAAAAAAACAAATAAAAAAAAAATAAAGTCAAGATACCAAAAAAACAGCCTTGCATCAGGCCTACTACTTCAATCACAGCAGTCAGTTGATACAGCATTCACTACCAACAGTCTTTACCCTCCTGATCACTTCTTTCTGTGAGAATTTATACCCCTAGGGGCAACCATTTCTCACCAATAATCACATGGGGAAGTAATAAAGATCATGAACAGCTAATAAATATCAATTAAAAATATGTGATCAAGTAACTTCATTTTCTTCACCACACAAAGTTAAATAACAGCACAACTTCACTGAATTTCAACAATAATCAAAAGAAGTTCACATTAACATCCTAATTCCCCTTCCCTTAACACCATACTTGGTATCTCCCACTTCCCATGATGCAACACAGCACAGGTATAAAAAACATAAGAAAAGTCCATTCCAGTCTTTTACCCAATTCAAGATGGCCACCACCCTGTATGCTGCTTCAGGTGACAATCAACAGTCTGCAACAAATGTTAAATGTCCTCAGGGTTAGTGCTCAGGTGGCCAGTCTGAGACACAACAGCACAGTTGTGAATACATTTGTGTGGACAATCCATCTCTCATGTTGCTGGTACACTAAGGTAAATAAAGAGTCTTTAAAAACCAAGTATGTGTTCATGTGTTTTGTGGAAGAGCTAACCAGGGGTCACAAAGAGCTGAGGGTAGCTCTGTGACACTTCTCCCTCCTTCTGCAGACGACCCCTGTCGTCCCCAGTGTCAAAGCTCTGCCCCTCCACGAACCCAGGTCGAAGACCCACTTTAGCATTCACCTCCTCTGGGATTCGGGACAAAAAGTCAGCCACCTTGTTCCTAGCTCCCGGACAGTATTTCACAGTGAACTGGTAGGGCTGGAGAGAAAGAGACCATCTTGTAATCCGGGCATTCGAGTCTTTCATACGCTCCAGCCATTGTAGAGCTCGATGGTCGGTTTCTAACACAAAGGGTCTCCCCAACAGGTAGTATCGAAGGGAATCCGTGGCCCATTTAATGGCCAAGCACTCCTGTTCCACAGTCGAATAGCGCGTTTCTCGAGGGAAAAGTTTTCGACTCAAGAATGCCACTGGCCTGCGATCTCCATCCACTTCCTGCAGTAACACCGCCCCCAGTCCGACTCCAGAGGCATCCGTCTGCAGGATGAATGGCTTCTGGAAATCTGGGCTAAGCAGAACAGAGTCCCCACATACTGCTTCTCGTAAGTCCCGGAAAGCTCGCTCACCCTGCTCCGTCCAGACCACCTTGTTGGGCGCAGCGGATCTAGTGAGATCTGTAAGCACAGAGGCCCTGGCAGAAAAGTTAGGTATAAACCTGCGATACCATCCCACCAAGCCCAGGAAGGATCTCACCTGTTTCTTAGTTGTGGGGGGTTGGTACCTTCGGATAGCCTCTATCTTCTCCTGCTGCGGCCGGATAACTCCTCCTCCAATCACAAATCCCAAGTAACTGATCTCTCTCTTGGCTATTATACACTTCTTAGGGTTAATGGTAAGACCGGCTGCCTTAATCCTCCCCAGGACTTGCTGCAGATGTTGACAGTGTTCTTCCCAGGTTTCACTAAAGATGACCACATCATCCAGATATGCCGCAGCAAACTCCCTGGTACCTTGCAGGATTTGGTCCATTAAACGTTGGAAAGTTGCTGGTGCCCCCTGCAGGCCAAAGGGCATAACCCTGAAATGGAATAACCCAAAGGGGGTCTTAAAAGCGGTCAGTTGCTTGGCTCTGGCAGTTAAAGGGACCTGCCAGTACCCCTTGCATAAGTCCACAGTGGATAGGTATTTGGCTCTGCCCAGTCTTTCCACCAACTCATCAATTCTTGGCATGGGATAAGGGTCTACCTTGGACAGGCTGTTCAGCTGTCTGAAGTCAATGCAAAATCTAAGGGTTCCATCCTTTTTGGGGACTAGAACAATGGGGCTACACCACTCACTAAGCGATGGTTCAATCACACCCATGGAGAGCATAATATCTAGTTCATCCTTCAGCACTGTCACCAGGCGTTCAGGGATCCGGTAACTCTTCTGGCGGGCGGGCGTTGCCTCCTTAAGTATGACATCATGACGTACCAGGTTAGTACACCCAGGCTTCTCCTGAAACAGCCTGGGATCCACCAGCTGCTTTATCTGGTCTATTTGAGGTTGCTCTAGGTGGGATAAATCCACAGCTTGTTGGGCGAAACTGGATGGAAAGTACTGCTCTGTTGGTTCATCTTCCTCCCCAACCACACGAACGAAAAGTTGCACAGCCTCGGTCTCCTTCCTGTGGTGGAATTCTTTCAACAAATTAACATGGAAGTTTTGCTTTTTCTTACCCCGTTCTGGCATGGAGATCTCGTAGGTGACTCTACCCGTTTTCCGCAAAACCTCGTAGGGTCCATGCCACTTAGCTAGCAACTT